AAAAAAAAAAAAAAAAAAAAAAAATATATATATATATATATATATATATATATATAATTAAAATAAAAAAAATATTGAAACAATAGAATGGTATGGTGTGTGCATGTGTGTATGCATTTGAAAAATATATTTAAATGCATGTTTTTTTAATGAAAAGTTTGCATAAAATGGAGGATGGAAATATAATTCCAAAATACATTTCCAAATTCAAAAAAAAAAAAACAGTATATAAACTGATGGAAACACATTTACTGCAATACATTTCCAGATGAGTATTAAAAAAAGACATGTGACTTTCCCTTAACAAGAATTGTGTGAATAATTCGCCACTATTCCCTGGCAGAACTGTCCGACATGCTATAGCTCCCATAAGAAATCTGTTGCTGCATAAGACATCCACCTAACATGAAAATGCTGCTTTATTAGCTAGATCATATCTGCAATTTTCAAATTAAGTTAGCAAATTGGAACATAACTATTGATCAATGAAAGCTGGAAATCTGCACAAGATGCTCTTTAGAACGTCTCAAATAATCCTAAATAACATGGATCATCTGGTTTTACTCAAACTATTCTTTTAAATCATGGGCTACTCCAAGTGGTGACACTTTAAAGTCTTAAACAAATATGAGGAGACAAATTGTAGCCTAATTCTTCTAAGTAGTGGTGGATGAACTAAACGGAGTCTAAATAAGTTCATTAAAGCAGCAGAGATAGGCCCTAAAGACCAGAAGGATCTGACTGAATAGATGTTTAGTCCTTTTTGTCGAGTTAGTAATCCAAAGTCCTGTCTCTAAGCCCCCTCTCCTCCCTGAAGGCTAGTATACCCTTACTTCGACCCCCTATTCACACACACACACACACAACCAACCCAACCCCCCTCACAAGAGCAATCTCTTGCTTTCTGCTCTCATTCTATTTCTCACTTTGGCACGGGCATCTCCGGTGTGATATTTTTGCCTAAAAATGATTAAAAACAGCAGAGAATGAAGGCATTTGTAGTAATGAGAGCACGTAAGCTGCGGTTTGTGGCCGCAGGAGTAATTAAACTCCCACACGGCATCTTGAGGGGCTGAGGAGGTGCGCTCTCCTGAGGCTGCCGCCCATTTTCTGTGGGCTGCTGGGAGTCGCGCCGCACAGTGCTGCGTGGGGCCTGAGCGACGCTAACAGATGAATCCCTGTCATTAAAAAGGATCACCCGCCTCATGGGAATCGGCTCTTTGCACTGAAAACATATCTCTTTAGGAGGAAAGGGCTATCACAATCTCTAACCCAAACGCAAACATACACACACAAATGCACCCAATTGCCCCTCGCTGTATTTATACGCTCTGGTTTGTCATCTATTTTCAGGCTTTTGTTCCCTGTCCTCAAATAAAATGTAGGTTTACATTGGTTGGGACACAACTTCCTTAGTTCAGCAATCCCCAACCATGGGTACGATTATCCCAGGGGGTCTTTAAAAGAATCGCTCACTCAAAACTGAAACTTGTCATCATTTACTATTGTAAATAGTATTTAGAATTTCATATTCTAAACCTTTATGCGTTTTTTCTTCTTCTGTGCAATGCAAAAGAAAAAACTGAAATATTTTGGGGGGAAAAATTACCCATTCAATCAATGTCCAGTGTTATGGACCCCATTGACTTTCATTGTTTGGATAAATTTACAGCTTAAACATGCTTCAAAATATAATTTTAAATGCATACAGGTTTAGAATGACATGAGGGACCGACATGCAGTTTGCATTTTTGGAAAGATTAAACCTTAAGAAACCTTAAAAAATACTGACCCATTATTATTATTATTATTATTATTATTATTACTACTACTTGATGTTTACTTTTATTTAAAATATATTAAAATATATATTAAGCTTAATATGAAATATTAATATATAACCAAAATATTTTAATAAAATTACCACACCTACAACTAATATTATAATCTTATATTGTTAATATTAATACTACTAGTATTATTATTGATAAAAACAACAAAAACTATAATATCAAATTAAATGCACTTTATAAATAAATGCAATTTATATAGTTATAAAATAACATGCTCTATATTCTCCAGAGAAGTGTTTCTCCTTTCAAAGTTTTAGTACACTGGTGTCTTCTTTCTCTATATGGAAATGAACATGTGGTAGGTCATATGCATCATGCCCTTTCCAGCTGTCTATCTATACATAGATGAAACATCCATCTGATTCATATTCAGGCAGCAGCTGTGCATCTAATAATTAAGACCGATCAATGCAATGTAGATTGTACTAACATTTAAACAATAAGCACTACCATGTTAACCGAACACAAGCCGATCGGGACAGATTGGTGTCGCAGCTCAAAATGCGGCGCATATTTAGAACATACTGAGGTGCAGAGATAAAAGAATGTGCTATTCTCTGTGGCTTTTCAGTGAGCGGGATAAAGCCCTCTTTAAAGGGGATTTGGCCTATCAGGAACGTCTATATCTGGAAGCTGATACAGCCACAGAGATTGTAGATCATTTTTCATTTACAAATCTGCTTTGGCTCAGACAAGCAGGCAGGCAGGAGAACAGCAGAGGGCAGGGCGATCGCGAACACTGCATCCAAGAGGAGGGGAGGGTGACAGGGGGCACTGTCCTCCACCATCACCCCTCCCCAGATCCACGGCTCCGCCTTGGGCCTTCCTTCCCAGTTGCTTGGCCAGCGGAGCAATCAGGTCAGTCGGCTCTTCCTGCGTCCCCCCTGGTCAATTGTTCCCTCTTCACGCCTCATGTGCGGCCCGCAGCTGTGGCAAAATTATGTCATATCTGATCCTAAAGCAGGCAGAGTGTCTCAGCGTAAACATGGAGCGGGGATGGAGGGGCTCCGACCGGAGACAATGAGCTGGGGGAAGTTATGCCAATATTTCTGATGATCTCTGCACTTCTGGCAGGAAATGAAAAAAGTGTTTCCAAACCCATGTTTGCCATTTTTTTTCCGGATTCAGCATCAGGTGGGCTCAGCACAAGTCAGCTTTGGAATAAATAAAAAAAACAGCTTTTTATTTCTTGTATTGATATATTTTTTTCTGAGGGAATAGGGCATTATTACTGCCACACTCAATACACTCTCTCAGAGGACTGGTTATTGGGTTGGTGCGTATATCTGCTGCAGTGGGGCCCATTGTGAAGCCATTATTTTCACTAAATCATTTCTCTAGGAGATAATCCAGGCATTAGCAATGCTTGGGAGCATTTAAACAAGCAGCAACCCGGCCATTTGTAGTCTGTCTCTCGGCGAACAACTAAGCGCATACAGAGACAATATTGTTGTAATGCAATATCCACAAACTCTCAGCCAGCGCATTCAGGAAAGCCACACTCCAATAATGCAAGTATAACAGAGCGGAAAATGTAAGTCAGCTCCCTCCACTTGTGGGGTCATTATGATGCCACCAGCTCTAAAGAAATCAATCGCTGCTTCTGAACATGAGAGGATTCCTAAAGCACGCGGAAACAGTTTGAACATGTTACAGTGCATGTGGATTTTGAGTCCAACAAGAAAGAGAAACTCAAATCCAGCAGCCTGCCTTTGGGAGGAAAGCACAGACCGCTGGGCTTGCTATGGATATTGTTTGGAGGTCCTCAAAGGAAAACGGGCGGTATGAATGAAGCGGAGCTGCTTTTCTGACGCAGGACTACCGAGCGTATAAACAAGCAGGTGATTTGATTAGGTTTGCAATCCAGTGAGTACAAGAGGCCACACTGGTCCTACTCACACCAACACTTAACTGGCACACTGACAAGCTTCCTGTGCTCCTAATGAGAGGCTTTCGAACGAAGCGTGAACTACAAATGCACACATATACACCGTTGGGATTCTGTGAGTTTTTCTTTTGTCTGACTCTTGTCAGGTTTTCAAGTTCTAGAGGTGCACCATATATATAAAATATACAATGAAATTATTATTATTGCCTATAGTGGAATTGCAGCCAATAATTTCAGCCGATAATAAAATATTGAGCAGAATATTCGTTTTCAACGTTTTCAAAAATATCCCTCAAGACCACTGATTTTATTCAATTGAGCAATTTGTGATGTTTGATGTATGACGTTTTAACTGATTCCAGTAATGATCCAATCCAGTCAAGATATTTTAGAAATTGCTCAATGAAAAACTAATTTGTCAGCAAAATAAAAAGCAGAATTTGCTCAAACTGCATATGCACTGTAAAATCTTTTATTAATTGTAAGCTATGTAACATTTTCGGAAATTATTACAAATAATTAAAAAAAATTAATTATAAAGTTATATAAATAAATAAAATATAAAAAATGTAATAAATTAAAAATAAAATAAAAACATTGTTGGTTCATTATTGGCAGCAGCGGAGCAACTCACAGAAACAGATTCCTGTACCATCTCAACCCAAGATGCCTTCTTATTATCCTATAAAATGTCAGGATTACCCTAGTAGATTCCATGGTGCGTGTGATGTTAAATGACACACACAATGCTGTTACATCATTATGTCTTGGATCCTCAAATTAATTGAAAGTTGTTTTAGAGAAAAACACGTTAATCATTGAACTTCATTCCTTTAACAGCAGACTATTCAATATTTATCTGATTCCTAAAACAAACAGAGAAAAGCATCAAATGTATCACACCTTGTCAGAGCAAACATGTTAACAGGAAGGGAGTCCACAATAAAGACATTATACTGCAAATATGATCTACTTCTGCACCTGCTCTAATTTTACACACCCCTTTCATAAACAAGAGCTTCTCTTTTTGCACTTTACCTTGGAGCGCTATTGTGCGGAGCGGTTTTGAACAAACCGTTCAATCATATCTGCCATCTTTCCATCCGTGTTGAAATCCAATCACCCGGAAATCACTGAAGAGGCAAATAAAGGTGCAATGATATGATAAATGCAAGAAAAGGCTTTCTAAATTGTGAAATGTTCTATAATTTAGATGTGCACACAAGTTCAATTTGTCCAAGAGATTCAACAGGATCTCCAAACAATCTCCTCTGCAAATAGAGGGAGGAAATAAGCTTCACTTGGCGGGTTTCTCCAGCTCAATAGGGCACAGAGGGCACACAGTAACCAATGTGTTTCACCTCATTTCTCCAGGGCCCAAGGAAACACAGCTAATGATGTAATGAAGTAAACAGTGATTTACATCTGCAGAGTCTGTGTCTACACGAGATGCCCTGGCAGAAGCGAATGAGATCATGTCTCGGCCTGCTCCAAGGACAGGAATATTTACAGTTCAGACTGAAACAGGGCTGTAATTCTCGTAACGAGCCCGAGGTAAACTACAGACCCATTACATGTCTTTCTGTCCAAGGGTCAGTTAACAAAGTCTTTATTTGTGACATCTATAGGTCACCGTGAGGATAGGTATTGGGACGGAACTAACTAAAGGTAGTGACACTACTAACAAAATCAGCAGCTTGGTTGTGTTCAAAACAGTAGTTTTTCCAGTATCACGCTACTTTTTCCAACAAGTAGTGGTTGTAGCATGACAAAACAAGTGTTTTCATTCCAAAACATTTTAGTGAATGATTCATTCGAATGGTTCATATGTAAATGAACTGGTTCCTAAAAACATTTTTCTAGTTTTATTCGGTTAAGCGTAAATTTATCTATTCAAGTTGTCAAATTGAGACCTCCCTTAAATAGCTTCAAATTAAACCATTTACTTCAAAAAGTGTGACGTAGACGTAGTTAAGTTATGAAACTAAGTAACCGTTTCAAAGCAGCTTCCTCAACACAGGTTTTCTACATATGATTAATCTCAAATCATTCACCTCCCCTGATCTGCTTTTGCCCTCTAATGTTATTTGTTTCAGTTCTCTTCAATCCTCTTTGGAGGGTAGATTCCAGTGCTCATCTGTCTGCTCAAGCAAGGTTAAAAGTACACATTGTGAGAGTTCGCTACAGCCAAGCATTGAGCCTGAGAAATCAAGTATGTTATTTATGAACCATTCGGCCATTGATTATACTCACCTGGGCACAGGGTGAAGCACGCAAGGTGCTCGTAACATCGGTGGCCCAACCAGGAATTAATTTGTTGTTCAAACTGCTACAGTAAACTTTATTATTCCGTTAACACGGCCATACCACTGTCACAACATCAACTTTGCCAGAAGGTTAAGGACAAAACAGAAGCTGCACACACTGATAGTATTGTTTGCACTGTTTTTTGTGCTATACTACTTGTGCAATGCATGAAATGGTAGAAGAACACCAAAAAATCTGTACAAAACAATTTGCATGCCCGGATTTCCCCATCTTGTACATGGTTCTAGGTGACACGACAACCTATCGCATACTGACATACTTTACTGGGACTATCCTGCCACCACTGCAGACACCTAAATCAGTTCTTTAAAATTACAAAAGTAAGTTTGTCTACACATATGGATATATAGAAAGTTCCAATGCTCTTCTCCATCATCTGATCATCATATGAAGAATTATACTGTCACAATCAATCGGAAATGTAAACAAAACCGTTTACCGCCAGCTTTCTGTGAATAGTAATTAGGGATGCAACGATACCATTTTTTCAGATCCGATCCGATCCAGAGAATTCTGAGTATCGGCAAATTCCGATCTGATCCGATACCAGTGCAGTTTTTTTTTAATCATTGTAGAATTTCTATACTTCTGTGTGTTGACCTGATCGTCACTCTTTTGTGTGTTAAACACAATCTACTAAATATAGACAACTTCATTTTAATGAAAAATAACATGAAAAAATATATCATAATCTGTGACAGAAATACTATTATAAACTAGGTTAGTGGATAATTTAGCAGCAAAAGTTATTCTAGAAAAATCATGAGTGCATAAAAAAAGACATTTCTTTTAAATGTATAGCACAGTAATGAAGGCAGCAACATATGCTATACTGTGCTATACATTCGATTATTTATAGCCTTTCTTTTTCTGTCCCATCTTAGGACAGAACAAGAAACGCTATAAATAATCTTTCACTGCGCAAAAGTATTATAATACGAAAAGCTCCAATAAGGAGCGGCACAAAGCGCTTATTTGTATCCCGTGCGCAGAATGATGCACTTGAAGCAACACGGAGTCACAGCGTGCAGCGCTACGCATAGAGAAATTCAAAGCACAAAGGAAAGAGATATTGATGCGTAGTTTATTAAATCTGTGCGATAGTTTATTGAGCCTTTTCTTTTAACAGTTTTACATTTCAGTTACTGTGCACTCTTAAAGAGAGTTTCATTGTTTTGACTGTCGTAACCGAACGTGACCCGCAGTGTGAATGCTGAATGGAGGATGACAGACAGCTGCAGCGGAGAGAAGAGTTTACGTCAACTTGAATTTAACGACTTAAGTATTCATCTGTACCTCACATTAAACTATGGAACAGCTTCAGAACACTTGGACTTTGACTTTATGGTGCTTTATAATGTTTTTGTGCTTTCGTGAGGCTTAACAATAACAAAGAATAGTATACGCACAATATCGGATTTGGATCAGTCTTGTCTGACCGATACCCGATCTGGCAGAAAATGCCATTATCAGAGCCGATAACGATACTGAGTATCTGATTGATGCATCCCTAGTAGTAATGGCGCAATGGTTCAACATTAACCAGCTTAAGTGAACAATGTACAATCTAAATCCTATTCTTCATGAGTAGGCCTATTTGTCTAATTTTACAGTTAAAATACGTTATGTTATATTGATTCTCAAGTAAATTTGTATTATTTTAAAGGGATAGTTCACTCCAAATCATTTACCCTCATGTTATTCTAAATATGTATGACATTTTTTTTTTCTGCATAACAAACCAAGATATCCTGAAGAATGTTTGGGGTGCAAACAAAATTGCACCCAACTGCATTCATTCAATGTATGGACAAAAAAATATATTTTGTGTTTCACAGAAAAAAAATAAAGTCTGGTAAAACTAGATTGCGGGTTGTTAGTGAATAAGACAGAGGTGAAATACTGCACACTGCCTAAACAAATTTATTCCACCAGTTTTGAGAACCGAGCAGCATATTGGTTTATAGGGATGCACCGATACCGATACTGGTATCGGTATCGGGCCCGATACTGAGCTCCTGTACTCGTACTCGTTAAAATGCCCCGATACCAAACGCCGATACCACACAGCATTTTATAATGTTTTTGTGCTTTCGTGAGGCTTAACAATAACAAAGAATAGTATACGCACAATATCGGATTTGGATCAGTCTTGTCTGACCGATACCCGATCTGGCAGAAAATGCCATTATCAGAGCCGATAACGATACTGAGTATCGGATTGATGCATCCCTAGTAGTAATGGCGCAATGGTTCAACATTAACCAGCTTAAGTGAACAATGTACAATCTAAATCCTATTCTTCATGAGTAGGCCTATTTGTCTAATTTTACAGTTAAAATACGTTATGTTATATTGATTCTCAAGTAAATTTGTATTATTTTAAAGGGATAGTTCACTCCAAATCATTTACCCTCATGTTATTCTAAATATGTATGACATTTTTTTTTTCTGCATAACAAACCAAGATATCCTGAAGAATGTTTGGGGTGCAAACAAAATTGCACCCAACTGCATTCATTCAATGTATGGACAAAAAAATATATTTTGTGTTTCACAGAAATAAATTTGGTAATGAGTTTAATAATTAATCTTAAAGATTTTAAAGGCTTTTGAAAGGCTTTTATAATGCATGCAGCAATTAATTAGCCTTGGAATTATTCAATTATTTTAAATAGACTGTTTATAAATTATTTTTCTCCCTTTGGTGAAGATTGTGTCCAATTACACA